GCAAGACCTCAAAGGTTTCCAACGCACAATGACAACCACATTGTAGATGTTTAACCTTTTTGAATACCTTTTACAGCAATTTTAAAATTGCATTAATACTGCCAATATGTGGTATGAGTACAATTTTTGTCTAGTTTATTACTTCAGATATCAGAACAGTATCTTATTACTGATTATCTAAATAGTACATCGCTACAAACTATGTTTCTTGTAATACTGCAGAACAGTTGAGTTTGAATGATGTGGTGCATGTGTCAGAGAACTATAATTAGATTAATTTAACTCAATCCATTGTTTCACAATAAGTAAAAAGATATCAGACAATGCCTAAAAATTCAGGCATATTTTGGCCTTTATCTCGCTGTGAACAATGAACTAATAATTGACAAAGATTTAATCATTTCTGCTCTTGCTCTTTTGTCATTTTAAATTATTTTATTTTATCTTCCCGTGATAAGCCCGATTCAAAGTTAAGAAATGGTTTTGATGGCAAAACTCAATGATTGGGATTAAAGTTGAGCAAATTATTAAGAGCTTGCCAAAGTTTTTTTAACGATAGAAAAATGTTTAAAATGTTCTTTTATCAAAAGTACGTAACAGTTTATAACACAAAAGAAAACAAAACACATGAATTATATTACACAATACAAGAACTATTGGAATAAACTCATTACAAACATCAGAAAGATTCAATCCTTTTACACGACCAATAACCTTAAAGGCAATCAAACTTCAGATTAGGGTCACTCCTATCCAACATTAAAGATTTTTTCAGCTTTACTTCACAAAGTTCAGTACATTCACTTGATGCTACGCTTCAAAAAACATTGCACCCCAAGACCTCTACACAAGCTGCTAACTCTGCTTGCTATTAATATCGGGCATGAACAAAGAGATCTTAGAGTGGAGGCTCATAGTTCCTTGAATGTGCAGTTGCAGGTAGATAGAATAGTGAAGAAGGTATTTGGTATGCTTGCCTTTATTGGCCAGTGCTTTAACTATCGGAGTTGGGAGGTCATGTTGCAGCAGTAGAGGCCATTGTTTAGGTCACCTTTGGAATACTGCGTGCAATTCTGGTCTCTCTGCTGTAGGAAGGATGTTGTGAAACTTGAAAGGGTTTGAAAAGATTTATAACACTGTTGCCAGGGTTGGAGGGTTTGAGCTACAGGGAGACGTTGAATAGGCTAATGCTATTTTCCCTGGAAAGTCGGTGGCTGAGGGGTGACCTTATAGAGGTTTATAAAATCACGAGGGGCATGGATAGGGTAAATAGGCAAGGTATTTTCCCCAGTGTGGGGGAGTCCAAAACTAGAGGCCATAGGTTTAAGGTGAGAGGGGAAAGATTTAAAAGAGACCTAAGGGGCAACTTCTTCACGCAGAGGGTGGTGTGTGTATGGAATGAGCTGCCAGAAGAAGTGGTGGAGGCTGGTACATTTACAACATTTAAAAGGCATATGGAAGGGTATATGAATAGGAAGGGTTTAGCAGGATGTGGGCCAAATGCTGGCAAATGGGACTAGATTTACTAGGATATCTGGTCAGCATGAATGATTTGGACTGACATTCTGTTTCTGTGCATCTCCATGACTCTATCTGTTTCTTGAACCTATGTCAAGGTCCTCTCTCTGCATTGTAAAACCCAAGTCATCTCAAACACTTTAGCAATTATTTCCCTGAGTATTTGCTGTCATGAAGCAACAGTTGCATGATTTCTTGGAAATGCTGTGTTTAGTGCACTGTCCCAAATTACTTTCTCACCTTTGTCAAAGAAAGCAGATGAGCCATTTACAGAACACAAAAAACAGTTCCAATTATCCTCCATATTAGAAGCTAAGGGTTTATAAATAATAACTAATTGTGAGCCTTCATCACACTTCTCCATAGAAAAAGAAGTACTTTTAAGAGGCATTTTCCTTTCCTATCATAAATTCCTCGTTACTATTTTCAATTTTGCTTATACAGATGTCGTGTTAACAGTAACAATATATTTACATTACATACACAAAGACGTTCCATAACTACCACATTCTGTACAAGCTTTGATCATGACATTTATTTTATTCCATTCTCCATATTTCTAGGTTTGGGGCAATCTAGAACAAAAAGTAAAAACTGAAAGATCTGCGGCTGTTGTAAATCAGAAACAAAAACAGAAGTTGCTGGAAAAGCTCAGCGGGTCTTGCAGCATCTGTGAAGAGAAATCAAAGTTAACGTTTTGGGTCCAGTGACCCTTCCCCAGAACAAAAGGTAATAGCTTTAGGCAAACAGGTGAGAGATTTTAAAGAGAGATAGGAGGAATTACTTCTCTCAAAAGGATGTGAATCTGTGGAATTTGCTATCCTAGAGTGCAGTGGATGCTAGGATACTTAATAAATTTGAGGAGGAATTGACAGATTTTTAATTGATAATGAGTTAAAAGGTTATGGGAAACAGGCAGGAAGTGGAGTTGAGGCCAAAATGAGATCAGACATGAATGTATTAAATGGCAGAGCAAGTGCGAAGAGCTGAATTGCCTACTGCTGCTCCTAGTTCTTATGTTAGGCCATGGGACCATAAGATATAGAGCAGAATTAGGCCACTTGTTCCATCCAGTCTGCTGCACCATTCAGTCATGGCTGATATGATTTTCTCAACCCCATTCTCCTGCCTTCTCCCTGTAACCATTGATCCCTTTACTAATCAAGACCCGATCTATCTCTATTTTAAATACACTCAATGATTTGGCATCTACAGCCTTCTGCAGCAATGAATTCCACAGATTTATCATCCTCAGGCTGAAGAACCTCCTTCTCAGCTCAGTTGAGAAGTGTTGTCCCTTCACTCCGAGGCTGTGCCCTTGGGTCCTAGTCTCTCCTGCCAGTGGAAACATCTTTGCCACATGCACTCCATCCAGCGGTCTCAGTATTCCTTACTTGCTCTTGATAAAGCATACGCTGATACTGAATCTTCCTGCTACATGAATTATATTCCAATCGTATAGCTGTAGCATTTAATTTCAATTTCAATTTGAATTTTGTATCGACAAAGTCATGTTTAGCTAATTTAAAGACCAAATTGTCTCTTCGTAACTGATCAATTTGTTCAAGTGTTGTAAATGTTGTTCCCAGGTTTGGTTTTGTAAATAGGGCTTACAAAAGCTTTCTTTGGCCATATCAGTCAATGGAACTTGCCAATATCCTTCTAATAAATTTAATAACCCTAACTTATACGCAATTGTAATAATATATCAAGTTTCAGTACCATGATAAACGGTGAGCTCCAGCTACTGTGACTCTATTCAATAAAGTAATTTTCCCATATTTAACATCTTTCCCCACTTGGGCTAACTTCTCGCACTTCATTCGGCAAATATGTTATTTTATGAATAATTCTTTGCTTATATTAACACTAAGTATAACCAAAAATGTTTTTCCTGGTCTTTTTACACAAAATTATTCATTAATTTTGATGGAATTAGACAGCAGCTTGCAGGAGTTATTGGTGTAGTTTGTTTATAGGCAAAGGAACCTCTGGCAAGTGGGAGGCCTTTAAAAGTGTGATAGCTAGAGTTCAAGGTCTATATGTTCCTGTGAGGGTGAAGGGCAAGGTTGGCAGGATTAGGGAACCCTGGATGACAAGAGATATTCAGGCTTTGGCCAGAAAAATGGAGGCATGGCTCAGGAACAGGTAGCTGGGATCAAGGGAATCTCTGGAGGTATTTGGGGATACAGGAGTTTACTGAAGAAGGAAATCAGGAGGGCGAAAAGGGGGCTGTCAGCTTTAGCTGAGAAGATTAGGGTGAATCCAAAGAGATTCTTTAAGTATATTAAAGGAAAAAGAGAGAATAGGACCCCTCAAGGACCAAAGTGGACATGTATGTGTGGAACCACAGTAGATGGGTGAGGTCTTCAATGAATATTTCTTCTCTGTGTTTACTGTGGAGAAAGCCATGAAGACTAGGGAACTTGGGGAAGTTAGTGGCGATATTCTGGGGGCTGTCCATATCACAATAGAAGTGTTGGAAGTATTAGAATGCATGAAGGTGGATAAATTTCCTGGTCTTGATCAGATATATCCAAGAACCCTGCAAGAGGCTAGAGAAGAAAGTGTGGGCGCCCTGGCTGATATATTTGCATCATCGTTAGCCATGGGTGAGGTCCCAGAAGACTGGAAGGAATCAAATGTCGTGCCCTGATTCAAGAAGGGCTGCAAAGAAAAACCTGGGAATTATAGACCAGTAAGCTTAAGCTGTAGGTAAGTTACTTGAGAAGATTCTGAGGGATAAGACATACATGCATTTGGAAAGGCAAAGTTTGATTAGGAGAAGTCACAGTATGGCTTCATGCATGGGAGATCATGCCTCACAAATTTGTTAGAGTTCTTTGATGAAATAACCAAGAAAGTTGATGAGGACTAGGCAGTAGATGTAGTCTGTATGGATTTCAGTAAGGCCTTTGATAAAATTCCACATGATAGGCTGCTCTGGAAGGTTAGATCACATGGAACCCAGGGAGAGTTTGC